TTTTTAACGTATTTAGTACAGGGTCTCACTATATGGATCGGACTCATAGTGAATAGTGATCCTCCCGTTTTCAGCCTCCCAGGCGCTGGGGTTACAGGCACGCACCACCACGCCCAGTCACAATGGCCATCTCAGCACACCCCAGGGGCGAAGCCAACAGGGCATGGCACCCCAGGGATTGAACTGCTGCCACTGTGCTCTGCCTAAGCAAGCGCTTTAAACCACTGAGCTATCTGGCCGGCCCTCTAATTTTTTATTTATTTATTTTTATAGTTATAATTACTTTCTTTGGGTTGGATTAGGGGTTTTTTATTTTGCATTTTAGACATGGTCTCACTCTGTAGTGCAGGCTAGCCTTGAGTGAGTAGCTCAGACTGGCCTCGAACTGAGGCAGTCCTGCCTCAGCTTCTCAAGTGCTGGAATTACATGTGTGTACCACTGCCTGGCTTCAGTTATTATCAAATAAAGGTTTTGTTGGTTTTTGTTTTTCTCAGGAAAGGTCTCACTGTAGCTCTGAATGGCCTTGAGCTTATTATGTACCCCAGAGTGGATTTAAACTCAAGCCTCCTGAGTGCTGGAATTAAGGGGTATACTTCCACACCTGGCATAAATAGTGTTTTTTTGTTTTGGTGTTTGGGTGGTTGTGTGTGTGCATGTATGTATGTTGTACTAGAGACTGAATACGGGGCCTTTGGATTTAGCTACATCTCAGCCCTTGGTGTATTTTATTTAGCAGGCTCTGGCTAGTGCTGGGTTGCCCAGAAGAGGCTCAAATTTGTGATCCCCTGCCTCAGCCTCCCACACTGCTGGGAATATAGGCAAATGCCACCCCACCATGAAAGGTTTTATGAAGTGTTACTTCTCTGTAAAAAATTCTACTCTAGGGGGCTTGGCAAGTACAAGGTCCTGAGTTTGATTCCCAGTACCAAAAAAAAGAAAAGAAATTACTTGATTAGAGGCTGTTGTTACCTTTTCGTATACTGATTTTACCTTGCTAGTATAATTCATACGTTTATGCTTACAACATGGTTCTGTGGGCTTCCTGTTTGTATCACTTTCTCATTAGCACTGTGAAATTGTTTTGTTTTCTATGATTTTAGGAATACAATTATATGTGTATTACATTTCAGAAAGTTTCTCAGTTGGGTTTGTGGATGTATTTTAGTTGTAGAGCATGTATCTGTCGTGTGAGACCCTGGGTTCAGTCCATTCTCAATACCAGAAGGAGAAAAGGTTTCCTCCTTAAAATTACTTAAATCCAGCAGGACATGGTGATTGCATACACCTATAATCCCAGCATGACTGTCTCAGGGAAAAAAATTTAATCCAGGACTTGTTTTTTGAAGTGCTAATTTAAAAATTTTAATTTTCTTTCCTGATTGTTGATTTAGTGAAGTTTTATATTTGGCTTTGTTTCATAATTATAATATTTACCCAAAACAGATGTCTTATTAACTTCAAATTTGCTTTTGCAAACATTATAATTTAATATTCCTCCAAATTAAAAAAATAAATCAAATGTATGGTCGTTTTGATGGTTGAAAAGTAGTTAGCTTTATCAACTTAAGCAGCCTAGAGTTCTTTTCTTTTTTTTTCTTTTCTTTTTTTTGCAGTACCGGGGATTGAACTCAGGCCCTTACACTTGCTAGGCAAGTGCTTATTCTACTGAGCCATCTCTCTGGTCCCTTTAAGCAGCCTAGAACTGTGCATGGTGGAACATATTTGTAATCAAGCATGTGGGAGGGTGAGGCAAGAGGGTTGCCACAAGTTCAAAGCCAACCTGAATTACAGAGCAAACACCTGTCTCAAGAGAAAAAGCCTAGATACAGTGTTTATAATGTATGCCTTTTGGGTGAGGGTCTTTTGTGTTCACTACACAGTTCAGACTGGCCTTGAACTCACTTTGTAGCCCAGGCTGGTCTTGAATTTTCAGTCTCCTGAGTGCTTGGATTATAGATGTGCACCATCTCACCTGGTTTAAATGTGTACTCTTCTCCTGTATTTTCTGTTTTGTTTTTATTTTTACTGTTACACAGGCTGGCCTGTACCTTTTGAGATACCTTAGCCTCCTGAGTACCTGGGACTGTACCTGGCTGTACATTTTTACATATGTTGTTTATATGCCTTGGCATACAGAGTTGTGGGCTGTATTTATTTATTTCTCTATATTTGAAAAAAGAGACCATGGTCCTCAAAGTGACATAATGTTTATCATATAAAATTTAAAAATGTCTTTTAAAAGTATCTTGCCTTTCAGAACTCACCATTTATCCTATCATCAAAGTTCTTTAACAAATTTAAAAAGTTCCATAACTATTCTTTAAAATTTTTTTCTTAGATATCACAGACGTACACATCTATACTCAGAACATAGGTTTGGCTTGGTTGGTTTTTTGTTTATTTGGTTTGGTTGTTGTTTTGAGACAGGGTATCATTAGTTGAAACTATCCTTGAACTCTCTTAGGTAGCCTGTGTTGGCTTTGAACTTGTAGCAGTCTTCTTGCCTCAGCCTCCTAAATGCTAGGATTATAGGTATGTGCCACCACCACCCAACAGTTTGGTTGTTTTGAGACAGAGTCTTGTTGCATAGTCCAGGCTGGCCTGAAGCTCATCAAGTAACCCAAGTTGGTCTCAAATTGTTGATACATCTGTTTTAGTCTTTTAGTGCTGGAATTACAGCGTACCTATGGATTGAACCCAGATCCTCATATGTGCTGGTCAAGTTGTTCTACCACTAAGTACTACAACCGCAGCTCCAGAATTTTATTTTATTTTATTTATTTGGAACAGTGTCTCGCTGTGCAGCTCTGGCACATAGTGATCTTCCTGTCTTAGCCATCCTGTTGCTGGGATAACAGGCATGCACTACCATACCTGGTTTTGGTGGCCAGCTCCTCTTAGTGGCTGGCTCAGTGCAAGGCCAGCATGGTATGCAGTACCAGGGATCAAACCTGGGCCCTAGCGCTTGCCAGGCAGGTGCTTAGACTGCCAAGCTGTCTCCCCAACCCCAGAATTTCATTTTTTTAAGACAGAACCCCAATTCTGGCATATATTTAGACACGTCATTTTAGTAGTAAAGTTGAATGTTTTAAACATCTACTTCTCTAGATTTTTTTTTTTAATTTTTATTTTGGGGTTTTTTTTTTTTATGTATTTGGTACAAGAGTCTCACCATGCAGCTCAGACTTGTAGTGATCCTCCTGTTTTCACCCTGCCCAGCACTGGGATTACAGGCGTGCACCACCATGCCCAGACTCTGTGGCAGGTTTAGGGCACCTGGGGGCAGGGCCAGCATGGCTTGGGGTGCCTGGGATTGATCTCCAGCCCCTGTGCTTGCCTAAGCAGTAGCTTGGTCTGCTGAGTTGTCTCGCTGGCCCTCCAGCCTTCATCTAGTCACTTGTTTCTGTGTTTCTAATATTGTATTAAGGAAGAAGGATCACATATAAATTAAATGTAAATAGCATTCGGATCTACAAATAGGTCCACTTAGAAGCTATCCAATCAAAACCAGAAATAGCAACTACCATGGTTGAAAATACCTGGGGCAAGGGTGTGTGTGTGCTTGCTCCTCTCTCACCGTCTCCAACCTCGTGGACACAATGCGATCACTGACAACATGCTGGGTTGTCCGGCTCACTCCCCCTTTCACCGTTCACCATGCTCCCTATTCAGTGCTGACTGCATGGCCTTGAGGAAAGCTGACATTTCTGCTTTTCTGTCTAACAGGAATTTATGAGACCACGTCAAATACTCCTAGTTAGTGTATGATGGCACTAACACTGTTGTTTCTTCTTTCTTTTGTTTTGTTTGTTTGTTTTTTATATTTTTTTAATTGAGAAATAAATATGAATGAGACAGTTTCACAGCTGATTAATAGGACAGTTTTGATAGTCAATACACTGTACATTGTTATCTTCTTAGTGGTTATCCATAGTAGAAGAAGCAGACAGGATATCCTGTCCAAACACTATAGTACCCTTTTTCTTCTCATTGAATTAAGCAAAAGTAGCTGTATATCTGTCCTAACTATTTTGTATATATAAATACATAATGATCTTTCCTTTGTATCCCCCCCCCTTTTTTTTTGTTTAGTCCTGTCAGAGGTGGGTATTCTATTGGCATCTAAATACTATAGGTGTTTGAATTTAGCAAAACAATCCAACACTGTCTAGCAGTCTATAATATTAGTGGGCTATCCTCAGAAGTTATTGACTTGAGCCTTTTACAGCTCATCGTATTAATATGGCTTTACTTTATATACCTCGTTTTTATACTTTTCTGCTGGATGGTTAAGACCAAGATATAGCAAGACCTATATACCAAGGAATGTAACTTTTGTATCTGATAAGGTCAGCCCAGTACTCTCAGGATTTATCCTGTAGCCCTGTACCGCCTTTTGTACATCCTTTTGTCAGTGTCAGCCATGAAGATGAGTCACGGCCATTGCTTGACCAATTTGCTCTCTGTGAAAGCTTGAGAAAATGTATTTTCACGCCATGTGACTCTCCCCAGGCTCGCTTTACATCATCGAACACATTCCTCTGTGGCTCCATAATCTTCTTGATCAGAAAATTTGGAGCACAACTGAGTTACATGTTGTTACAGTACAGGTTCTCCTATGTCCCGAGTCTTCACTGACCTTGAAAGGCTAGGGCCAGAATGTTGGCTAACCGTGCAGCCCTTCCTTTTCTCCAATTTTGATCTGCTAACTTAGGTTGTTAACCCTCCAGAAGAGAAGCTAATTATTAACCTGCAGTATATGCAGTTTGGTTTACCCTGTCGAAATATCAAACATTTTGGCATATCCTGGATACTTCTCTAGATTTAAATGTCTGGATATGTTTCTGTGGGCTTTTCTGACTTGTTTTCTCAAATCCAGGCAATTTGCCAAACCTCAGCAAATAGTGAACACCAACCTGTTTCCTGTAGTGACTTCTGATCTTCATCAATGAATATTAAACGTTTCACGTAATCATTAAATGCATATTGTTTCATGCTCTGCATTTTTGCACTTTTATTTTTGAAACAGGGTCTTTCCATGTCGTCCAGGCTGGCCTCAAACTCACTATATACCCCAAGCCGTCATCAAATTTGCAGCAGTCCTCCCTGCCTCAGCCTCCAGAGTGCTAGGGTTATGGGTGTGCACCACAACACCTGGATTTTGCAGTTAATTTACATCAAATTCAATTCAATTTTATATTTTTTAAATCATTCCTCTTATGTTGGATATTTATGTTCCCAAGTTTTCACTATAAATTATCCTTTTGTATTTTATCATGTCTCATGTGATTGGCTAAAGTCCTGTTACTATGTTTTGTAGAGCGACTGCATAGGGATAGGAAAGTTTAAATATTGTGCAGTCATACAATATAAATGAAGCACACCCAGCATGCCCCCCCCCCCCCAGGTCAGTTGACTGGGCATGGTGGCGCGCACCTGTCATCCCAGCGCTTGGAAGGCTGAAAACAGAAGGATCACTACAAGTCCGATCTGTGTAGTGAAACCCTATAGATCCTGTACTAAACACATTAAAACTTAAAAAATGGAGTAGAAGCGTTTGGTGCCAGTGAGGACAGGTGCTTATTGTCTGTTTTAAGGAGATACACTGTATCTCAAACCCTTTAATTTGTGCTCAGACATTTCCATATTTTTTAATTGTAAATCTTGTTTCCTGTTATCCTTTCCATAAAAGGCTTTAGGTTTTGAGGCCCATTGTATTTCTTGCACAATGTAGGTTTGGGGACTATAGCAATAAACAGAACAAAGACTTTGCCCTTGAGAAACGTACATTTACTTAGTGTAAAGGCTCCAAGCTTGTTTGATTGTGTATTCTTTTAATAATATATATCTGAATATGGAGCCCACAAATAATAAATGTTTATCATTTTGTGTGTGCTAGTCTTCATATATTACTGTTTTAGCAGTTAATTTCTAAATGTCATAATGTCTGCAGAGATCTTTAAACATTTCTGGTTTGGGCCATTTAGTATAAGGACTACAATAACAGCTTCTGTCCTAAGCCAGCTATTCCATAGTGAGAGTCCTTTGTGTAAATTATTTATTTACATAGTTTCAGGTGCTCCTTCAACACCAAGGAGAGGGCGTGGAGGACATCGAGGTGGCCGGGGAAGGTTTGGTATTCGGAGAGATGGTCCGATGAAATTTGAGAAAGACTTTGACTTCGAAAGTGCAAATGCACAATTTAACAAAGAGGAGATTGACAGAGAATTTCATAGTAAACTTAAATTAAAAGGTAAGCTTTGATTTCTCTACTTAGAAAAATCTTATTTATCAATGAACTAAGGATATTTTCTACGTTACACATTTAATTTTATTTAGTATGAATCTTGACTTTTATGGTGTTTGTTTTTCATTAGAAGATAAACTTGAGAAACAAGAGAAACCTGTAAATGGTGAAGATAAGGGCGACTCTGGAGTTGATACCCAAAACAGTGAAGGAAATGCCGATGAAGAAGACCCTCTTGGCCCTAATTGCTACTACGACAAAACTAAATCCTTCTTTGATAATATTTCTTGTGATGATAATAGGTATTGTCTTTTAAGCTGTTCTTGTGCTCTTAAAACATGAGTTATAAAAAATATTTCATATAAATTTACAAGGTTTCCAGACATGATGACACACACCTATGATCCCAGCACTTGTGGAAGCTGAGGCAGGAACATCACCTCAAATTCAAGGCCAGTCTGGGCTGCATAATCTGTTTGAGGCCAGTTTGAATCGCATAGGGAGACCCTGTCTAAAAATTAAATGAATAAAAAAAATAAAAATAAATTCTCAAGATTTAAAGAATATATAGAAGCTGGGTTTGGCACACACCTATAATCTAAGTACTTGGAAAGCTGAGGTAAGAATATAGCCACGAGTTCCAAGCCAGCCTGGACTAGTATCCTTGACTACATGTGAGACCCTGTCTCAAAAAAGATTTGGCCCCAGGCATGGTAATGCACACCTGTAATCCCAGTACTCAGGAGGCTGAGGCCAGAATACTGCCTAGAGTTTGAAGCCAGCCTGGACTACATAGTTCAAGGCCAGTGTGTATATACAGGGAGACCCTGTCTCAAAAAACAAACAAAAAAGCTAGATGTGGTGGCTTTGTAATCCTAGCACTCAGAAAGCTGAGGTAGGAAGAATGCTTCAAGTTCAAGACCAGCCTGAACAGCACAGTGAAAGCCTTTCTCAAAAATACAAAAAAGAAAATTTTAAGATATCTAATGACTATAGTTGTTTTTTTACTGTTTTATTGTACTTAAAGAAAATATTGGGCCAGCCAGATAGCTCAGCAGACTAAAGCGCCTGCTTAGGCATATGCAGGGACTGAGTTCTATCCCTGGCATGCAGTGCCAGCTCAGCCCCAGAGTGCACTGAGACTGGGCATGGTGAAATGCGTCTGTAATCTCAGTGTTTGGGAGGCTGAACGCAGACGAATCACCACAAGTCCGATCTACATTGTGAAACCCTGTAGATCCTGTACTAAATTACAGTCAATCAATCAAATATAAAATTTAAAAAAACATATTGCCAGATGTGGTATATTCCTGTAATGTTAGCACTTGAGGCTGAGGCAGGAAGATCACTGAGAGTTTGAGGCCACCCTGGGCAATTTACTGAGTTCAGGGACAGCCTGAACTATATATAGCATGACTTGTCTCAAAACTCTCCAGAAGAGTGTGTGTGGAGGTTCAGCTTGGGGGAAAATTTATTTCAAGATAAATGACATCTTTCAAGATTCTCAGAAAATAAGACAGTCCTGTGAAGAACACTGCTAAGGGCCAGAATGACATTGATGCTTCAGAATGGCTGCTGTGTCAGTTGCTCCCAGCTCAGCAACACGCAGACTGCATGAGAACTTTGAAAAGACTCCGTGACATTGGAGTGCTTTCGAATTTATTGTGAAGAGCAGAAAATATTTGCTGTGTGTGGGCAGGCCCTTGGTGTTTACTTATCAATTCCATGCATGGTTTTCCTGTGTACTCATAGAATTTTAAAAATAGAAATAGTGATATTTGAGTTTATATAGTGTTAAGTGAGGAAAGAGGTACTTGGAGATGTCGATATCACTCTTAATCGAGGGCTTATGAACAGTTATTGGTAGCTGCTCCCATTTCCTGTGTTCTACTAGGTATAGTTTTCATTCAGCTATATTTGACAAAGGCACATACTGCAAGCAGGGGCCAGGGATTCAATCCCCGGGCCTGCTGTGCTGGCCTCAGCCCCAGGCATGCTGAGACAGCAGTTGAGACTGGGCATGGTGGCATGCGCCTGTAATCCCAGCTCTTGGGAGTCTATAAGTAGGTGGATCCCTATAAGTTGATCTAGTAGTGAGACCCTGAACACCCTGTAGACCCTTCCCTAAAAAAAAAAAAAAAAATCAATCTATGGCTCCTAATCATGAAAGAATTTTTTAAAAAACTATTTAATTTGAGTAGGATTGTAATCACATTTGGTCATTAGTAATTAAGATAGAAGCATTCATATAACATCTATATAAGACTTCTGTATAGTTTTCTTTTTTCTTTTTTCTTTTTTTTTTTTTTTTTTTGGCATAACCAGGGATTGAACTCAGGCCCTTGCATTTTCCAGGCAAGCACTTACTCTACTGAGCCATTTCTCTGGCCCTTCTTCTGTAGTTTTTTATTTGTTTGTTTGTTTGTTTGTTTGTTTTGTTTTGTTTTTTTAATGTTTCCTTTATTTATTTTTTTCTTTTTTTTATGGTCAGCTCAGCCCACCCTGGGGGCGGGGCTGGCATGGCATGTTGTGCTGGGGATCGAACTGAGGTTCCTGCATGCTTGCCTAAGCTTGCCTAAGCAGGTGCTTTAGACCACTGAGCTGTCTCACCAGCCCTCTTCTGTAGTTTTATATTGTAGTTCATATGAAGCCAGAACCAAAACTGGTAGTATTTCTTTGATGTTTACTGATACAGTAAAACTCTGCCGTATTGTAATAAATATGGGTCTAGAAAATTAACAGTAAATTACTGTGAGTTTAAAGGACTCAGTCTTACAACATAAGTTCCAGAAGCTGTCCTACTAAGATTATATCTTTGTTCTTTCTGGTTGCAGTTTGGTGCCACCTGGTGACGGTTGTTAGCTTCATTGTAAACATGGAGAGGGAAGCTGTTCTGTTGTGGGAATATACTAAGCTTGCATGCCATGGACAGCTGACCGAATTGGATAAGCTAGTCTTTTTTTTTTAAGTTTTTCTTTTTGTGGGAAGGTATTGGTTTTTTGTTTCATTTTTCCCCATTGCAGTGCTCTGGGTTGAATCCAGGGAGTGCTATACTATGTTCCCCTCCCTTTTTATAGTGTTATTTTGAGACAGGTGGTAAATAACCCAGGCTGGACCTGAACTTAAGATCCTTCCTCTTCAGCCTCCCTAGTAGTTGAGATGCTTGTTTTAAATTGATCTTTAGGTAATTTAGGAATTGTGCTACCTATTTTTTGCTGAAAAACATTCTTTTAAACAGGATATGCTTTCCCTGGCAAGCACAAGGGCCTGAGTTCAATCCCTGGTTCCAGGAAAAAAACAAAACAAAACAGGATATGCTTTAAAAAAAGAAAATACAGGATATGCTAACGGTGGTTTTCTTTTGTAATAGGGAACGGAGACCAACCTGGGCTGAAGAAAGGCGATTAAATGCTGAAACTTTTGGGATTCCACTCCGTCCAAACCGTGGTCGTGGAGGGTACAGAGGAGGCAGAGGAGGTCTTGGTTTCCGTGGTGGCCGAGGACGTGGTAGTGGCAGAGGTGGTACCTTTATTACTCCACGGGGATTTCGTGGTGGATTCAGAGGAGGTCGTGGTGGAAGAGAGTTTGCAGATTTTGAATATAGGGTAAGTTTTATGCTTTGGCATTGCCATTCATCCAGCTTTTTTTTTTTTAATTCAGTTTTATGAATCAGTTTTTGTGTGAATTATTTTGAGAGCATTAAAAGAACTTCCAGTTTGAGTTTTCCATGGAAAATGTACCTAGTTCTATTTTTTGTTTGGTTTTGCTTTTTTTTTTTTTTTTTTTGAGACGGGGTCTCGCTTATCTCAGGGTGGGCCTGAATTTAAGACAGCCCTTCTGCCTCAGCCTCCAGGGTGCTGGGTTTACAGGCACATGCACCATCACACTTAGCAATGTTTCTATAATTTTAAGAACAGTAAATTCTTCGCTAATGAGTCTAAAAAGTTTTTCATTTGAAGAGAGGGAGATGTGATTTGACTTTCCCCCCAATTATTGAGGACTGAACCTTGGGCTTTCACATGGAGCTGCATCCCTAATCCCTTGAGACAAGGTCTTACTAAGTCACCCAGTCTGGCCTGGAACATACAATCCTTCTGTCTCAGTCTACCAAAGCTGGGATTGCAGACATGTGCCATTGCTCCCCACTACAGATGTAGTGCTCTTTTTTTCCTCTACGTATTGTGCCATAGTTTTAGATTTTATGGGCTGGTTAGGGAAACATCCACCCACCCACCCCCATTCTGTGAAGAGACTGAGGTAAGGTTATTTCTTTTTTAGTCCTTCTGGAAAGGAAGAGGGTTGCTTTGTTTTTCTGGAGGCATAGGAATGATCACTAAACACATACACAGGGGCTGGTGAGATGGCTCAGTGGTCTAATGCACCTACTTAGAACAAGCTTAGCAAAGTACAGAGACCGCGGTTCAATCCCCCAGCCCCATATACCAGCCAGCCCCACCCCCTGGTGGGCTGAGCTGGCCACACACACACACACACACACACAAATAAATACATACATACATACATACATACATACAGAAAAGGAACTATATCACCTTTATTTCATGTTGTAAAGTTTTTATACTTCTGACATCAAAAGAACATAGCATATATACCCAGAATGAGAAGCAAACCTTTGCATTTTAATGATCTTACTAAAGGCCAGTCATGTGGCCACATACCTGTAATCCCAACATTCCAGACACCTAAGCAGAAGAAACATTCCCGAGAGTTTGAAGGCCACCCTGAGCTACATAGAAGGGATCCTTAAATATTTAGGATCTCCAAAAAAAATCCTAAATATTTAAGAATAGAACAATAAGGATCAAAATCTCCTTAAGAGATCTGATAGGAACAGTAGAGGATAGCTGGAAATAAAAAAAATCCACTGGCAGAAATCTCATTGTCCAGTATTTAAAAGTGGTCACTATTGACATCTGGACCTGGTCCATTAAGTTTCATGCCTTTGGTATCGTGTCATGACAGCCAAGGCTTACACATTAGCTTGAAGTCAGCTTATACTTTCCAGTCTTGAAGGCCTGGTGTAGTTGCAGGACTTATAACATGCAAAATTGCCATCCCAGCTCAGTGACTATGTCTTAGAAAATTAGAGTGGCTTCTGCTTGTCACTGTAATTGGCCTTGAGGTTGCCATTGACCTTTTTTTTTGGTGAAACTGGGGATTGAACTTAGGTCCTTGCGCTTGCCAGGGAAGCGCTTATTCCACTGAGCTATCTCCCCGTGCCCCCACCCCATTGACTTTTAAGTATAAAGCACAGTAGCTTTTCCACAAATACTTGCCTGTAACTCCTTTGTAGTATTAGACACTGATCACAAACCCATTTTAGAGTTTTCTTAATGTTTCTAAATACATTCATTTTTTATTTAAGACATATTTTTTAAAAAATATCAGTATTGGGGCTGGTGAGATGGCTCAGTGGTCTAAAGCACCTACTTGAAACAAGCTTGGCAAAGCACAGGGACCGCGGTTCGATCCCCAGCACCACATGCCAGCCAGACCCGCCCCCTGGTGGGCTGAGCTGGCCACACACACACACACAATAAATAAATGTAATAAATAAAAATAAATAAATATTAAAAAAAAAAATCAGTATTCCTCAGCACAGACAGCATATAAGCTGCTTCATGATCTGCCCGCTTTTCTAGGCCAGAAGTCTGGTATGGGCTCTTGTCCTTATTACTTGTTGGCCTGGCCTTTCCTCCTTCATTCACTGTGTTGCAAATACTTGTTCTTGTTCTTAGTGCCGAGATTGTTCCTATCTCACGACTTTGAAGGGAGGGGTTTATTTTTGGTTTTTTATTTATTAAATTTTGGTTTTTTAAGGCAGGGTCTTGCTATGTAGCCTAGGCTGACCTCATTTATAGTGATCCTCCTGCTTCATCCTCCTGAGTGCTAGGATTACAGGCATACTTCACTATGCCCAGCTATTTCTTCTGTCTAGAATATTCAGTTTGCTTTTTTTGTGAGCATTGGTGTTCCTATGTACATACTTACGTGTGCTCATTTACTCAAGTACTCTCAATCTCTACTCTGCCCCTCCCCTTGAGGGGGGAGCTGGTTCTGAAACAGAATCTTAACTGTGTAGACCAGACTAAGGAGCCTTCTGCTTCAGCTTTCCAAGTGCTGACTGCATGCACTACTGTTCCTGGTTTTTCCTCAAGTTCAGAACTTCTAATCGATTTTGCAACTTGAACTTTGAGACAGGGTCTCACTATACAATTCAGGTTAGCATCGAGCTCACAGTGATCTTCCTGCCTCAACCTCTCTAGTGCTGGGACTATAGGCATGTGTCGCCACGCCTAGCTTAGATCTTCAGATCTTCATTCTCTGTTTACTGCATATGTAACAGGTACTGCTTAAAGACCCAAGCACATTGAATCAGGTTGGTTTCAAAACAAGTGTGTTTAAATTAGACTGGGTGCAGCTGAGAATTGTAGTAATAGTTGCTGGTGTAATCTCATTAGTTATTAGGCCCTTGAGACTGTCAGTTTTGACATTTGTGGAAAGATAATTGCATGTACAGTTTAATCTAAAGTCTACTTTTAAAGATTAAACTCTCAAGAGTTGAAAAACATCTGAGAGGCCTGACCTCCTGCCTGAAACTTCTTTATAGTATTCCTTGAGGAACCAAGAATATATCCTTTCCTAGGCCATCACCCCACTCCCAGGAGTGCTCTCATTTCTAGACTATCACAGACACCACACCCTTTGACTTGAAATACATGTCCTTTCCTTTTTTTTTTTTTTTTGAGACAAGTTTGTATTCTGTAGCTTAGGCTAATCTCAAACAGCAGTCCTCCTGCCTCAGCCTCCCTAGTGCTGGTGTTACAGACATGCACCACCATGCCCAGTATCTTTGCGTATAGCTTTAACCTTTTGGTTAAGCTTTACCTCTTGAAAATTTACAAAATACACTACTTCGTGATATTTTTCAGATATTTATATATACAACTGTTTTCTTTATGCGACTGAACTGTTGTGACCCTTTCTCTGAACATCATTCAAATCTTCATTGATTTAGTACTATATGCATTGCTGTATGTACTGATTAATACATATCTTTTTAAAACTCACGCCTTTTTGTTCTGAGCCTTTTATTAACATTCGTTATGTATATTGCAAAATTCAAATGCATTGTAGGGGTTATCTGTGAGAGTCTTTATTCCCTGTGTGTCTGGCAGATAATCCAACTTCTGCTTAAGTGTTTCACAAAAGACTCAAGCATTGTCCTGATAAAAGAAGACTGTAATGTTACACTGGAGTGCTTGCTTTAGCACTTGATATATCCAGCTTCATTTTACACTACCTTTCAACCTAGCTGTTTTATTTTTTATTTTTTTTTT